GGGGTACAACGTACTGCAAAGGATATATAGAGATATTCAAGAACCTATGCTAAATGCAGCAACTGAACAGTTTGGGGCGAACCCGTTTGCGAGTCTAGTTACAGGAAATAGCTCAGATGCAGCTAATAATACTCAACAAGGATAAGAAAATGTGGAAGCGTGCTGGGCCCATAACTCAGAGGTCCGAGGATCGAAACCACGCTCTGCTACCTTATTTATAGCGTTAATTATCTCTCGTGGATCCCTCAATGTAGAATAAAACAACCCTGTTTTCTCCAAAAACGGGGACAGTGGACCCAACTCTCGCTGCAGTGATCAAGTACAATTCTCATATAGGGTGGTACTCCTATGCGCTCTCTACATGGAGCCAAGAAATGAGACCTTTCAATTAGCTGGGACACATTGAGTAATGTTTATACGCGGGATTTGTCTTTAAAGTAAATGTCCTTATGTCAGCCTAGTATGGCCTATCCTTATTCGGATGAGGATGACCTTCTTTTACGAGTCAAGTCCTCCGAGGGCCACCTATGTCAAATGCTCTTGATATGCGAAAGCTTCTCTTCCTATTCGGCCCACCGACGCTGCCATCTATTTCAATGATGTTTTTATTGCATTTTTAAAGTCGGGGCCGCCTCGCCCGCCTTTTCGTATAATGAATGGGTGTGATCGTTGTTTAGGTTTAAAACTTCTTATGTATATTATTTTTAAGTTTAAGAATGTAGTAGAAGTATTAAAACAGGACGCAAGTCTTCTAAAAGCCTCTTCGGAAGCCCCTATCAGGAAACATTGTTTTAAGCTTTTGTCGAATTTCGGCCTTGCAGGTAGTCACCTTACTTATTATCATCTGACCGAACATGTTACTTGTGTTATATCAAGTAGATCTAATCCTGTATTACGCAATAACATTTGATAATTATTTCTTTACGACCTTAAGTCATCCAGTTCCCTAACAATAACGGCCTACGAGCCGAATCGACATCTAGATATGTGCATAATTTAAAAAAATAGCATTCGAATTGTTGAAATAGAGCAAAATAATATCTATTCGTTTTCTAATTTTTTAATGTGAAAGCCCTTTCATGAAAAATTGTCGAATATTTTATCGATTTTTTCATGATTTACTTTAATTTTACCCTTTGGTTTATTGGTCCTTTTGTTCTTCTTTAGTTTAATTCTTCATTATTTCTAATCCATTCTTGAAGAATTTAGTTTTATCGTTCAAAAATCCTTTAGGGATTATGTAAAACGGAGTCTATGCCATAAAAAAGCGATATAAGAGTTAACATACATGTCAAGCTTGTTTAACACTTTACGAAAATGAAATACAAAGCCATGAAGCATTAAGTTCCTCATCGAGAATGGTCCAGGAAACCTTTCTTATCGATATAAACCTAAAAAAGCATTAAAGATATATATACATAAAATTTGAAAAAAGTATATTCGAACTGTTTAAAAAGGAGCCTTTTCTAAGCCTTTTGTTCGGAAGCCCCTATCAAGAACTTTTTTTAGGCTTTGTCGAATACCCTTTCGTCCTTGTACGTGAATATATTACAATGTTACCGTCCGAAAATTGTTTTTTAATTATGGAAAACTCAGTATATATTATAAAAACGAACGACAAAAAGCGATAAACATACATTTTATGACTGATAATAATTTCTGTACACAAAATTAAATATGTAAAAGGTTATGAGGCAACAACTCTCGGTCAATAAATCTTTTCGGGAGTTTCACTAAAAGTTTTGTATGCTTTGTCCAGTAGTATCTGCCTTGATTTATTATAAATTTACCGTTAAAACATGCTTTTTCAATTTTAAAAAAAATTGAGCCTATATTTAAAAAATGATGACAGCACTTGTCAAACTGTTGTTACAGGTTTCTATTTTGCTGGAAAAAAATCTAAGTGCAAAATGTTATAGAGAAATGCAGGCAATTGAACATCCCCATTTTTCGACTAGGAATATTGTTCTTTTGGTCAACGTATGCCATCAATAATCTGTACATCGGTATGGTCTGGATGAAAAAATAATTGTATGATGAAGAAAGAAATTGTCATCTACTAAGCTTCGATCTATGTTAACTTCATCATCAGGGCAAAACAATCAGTGTTACAGTCCTTGGCCATGTTGGGAGCCTATCTTTAAAGATATTTGAAACAATCTATTAAAAACTTAATTATGTCAATTTGTAGACATTTTTAATATTGTTTTGCCCTGATGATGACCTTAAAATGTCGAAAGATTGTTAGAACAAGTGAATGAAAAATTAAGGTAATCATGATGTGCCTCCGATATTGAACGCATCTACGTAAACCGCCAGAAACTTCCAGGCTAATAGATTATTAAATAAATAGGTAACAGGTTGAAAATAAAAAGACTGTATATATCGTCGGCTCACTTCATAACAATGAAGAATTTCCGCCTTGTGTAGGCGGATAAACGAAGTCGAACAAAAGAGATTTGAAGGTCTCACCGTCAACTTCCGTACTTCCTCATCCATTTCTTGCTTCTCTTCAAATTTCAACGGAAAGGGAATAAATACTCCGTGCCGCGTTACAACCACTGTTAATTCGGTGACGTTTGAAATACGAGAATATCCTCGGACGATTCAAAGGCTTCTGTTAAATAAGAAGACGAGTTAAAGCCAGGTGCAATGGAAGATCGACGAAAAAGGACTTAATTTTGCTGGGTGGAGGAATGTACAATCAAGAACTGTGAAAACAAGTTATTTTCGGATTATCAACATAAAAGGGACAAGTTCTTAATTTATTGCCAGCGATGTAATTAAATCGCTTTTCTGCAATCGTACTTATGAAATTGCTGAAACAAATTTAATATAATCGGTTTACAGAAAAACAAGAAAGAACACAACCATACTCTGTTTAACTCTCCAGATTTTCGGAAATAACCAATTCTAGAACCAGAAAAGAAAAATAATCGAGAAAGCAGTTTTGCTGCAATAATTTAATTTATTCCAAATCGCATCCTTGTGACAAAAGAATTTATGTGCCAAATTTTATTTTTTATAAAATCAAATCATATAAAGGGAATCATGAAATTATTTTTGGTTCAAGCAAATTCATTAAAATAGAAATAAAATGCCGAACAACTTCGGTGGTTCTGTTTAGCTAATTTAAAAAAGGAAAATTCTGTTGATCCTTTCTGAAAATCAAATTATAAGAAATATGAGACCCCTTTCCGAGGAATACCGAGAATGCTGGGGTAAGTGTGTGAGGCCAATTTTTGGGAGAGTCTGTGATGTCTGGAGCGTAAAAGTAACTCATTAGCGGGAATAAAGTCCGTTCAACCCCGCCACGAGGAATATCGACTTCTCTGGGGTAAGTGTGTGAGGTCTAGAGAGTAAAAGTTCTTATTATATAGAACGAAATGGGTTCACCCTCGGTTCCCTGAAATGCAGAGGACTCCGGGGTGAGTATGTGACGTCTACAGCGTAAAAGTTTGTTATTATATAGAAAGGAGTTGTTTTCAACCCGGAATCGAGGAATATCGAGTACTCTGGGGTGAGTGTGTGATGTCAAGAGCGTAAAAGTAACTTATTAGCGGGAATGGAGTCCGTTCAACCCCGCCACGAGGAATATCGATTAACCCTGTGGTAAGTGTGTGATGTCTGGAGAGTAAACGTTTGTTATTATTTAGAAGGGAATGGGTTCAACCCCGCCACCTGAAATTTCGAGTATTTTTGTGTGAGTCTGTGATGTTCGGTGAGGAAAAGTATGTTATCAGGGGGAATAGAGTCCGTTCACCCCACCTCGAGGAATATCGCGTAGAAACTGGGGTGAGTGGGTGATGTCTGCAGTGTAAACGTAACTTATTAGCGAGAATGGGGTCCGTTCAACCACTCCTCGAGGAATATCGACTGCTCTAGGTTAAGACTGTGACGTCTAGACAGTACAAGTTTGTTATTACCTTAAAAAAAAGTGCGTTCAACCCAGCCAACTGAAAGATCGGGTACGCTGGAGTGAGTGTGTGACGTCTAGAGAGTAAAAGTTTGTCATTTCCTAGAAAGGAGTGTGTTCAACCCGGCCCCCTGAAATATCGAGTACTTAGGGGTGAGTGTGTGACATCTGCAGTGTAAAAATATGTTATTACTGAGAATGGGGTGGGTTCACCCCACCCCGTTGAATATTGAATCCTCTGGAGTGAGTATGTGACCAGACATGTTAACTATGTGCTTGGTGATGTATAATATTTATTGCATGTTTTGTGTCTATTCTGTAGTGGACGACCTGAGGTACAAACTAGACGCCAGCGTTTTACGATTTCAACTTAGTTTTCGTTTAATGTAAAAGCACGGAGTCAGTAACAGATTAAGTCGCTCAAATGGCTGCAACCTGAAAAATACGCTTGAAAGACCAGAAAAAGATGTAAAAATAACCAGAGGGCCGGCGATATTTTAGCTCTTTTCCAGCCCCTAATCTTCTCACATTATTATTATAAGAGCATGCTAAATATATTTTACTAAAATGATTGTTTTAACATTATCAACCTACTATTTCCGGAGGAACTATGATTAAGCAATAAATTAGTGTTTTTTTATTGATGAGAAAACAATTATGAACTGAATAAAACAATGGAAAGAAATTAGTTTTATCACTCACACATAAAAAAATTAGCAAACTATGTTAGTAAACAAATCAACTACGAAAAACAAATCGAAAAAGTTCTAATTTATTTATTTGCACACGTTAATAGAGAAGGTTAAAAGAAGAAACAAAGTAGAAAATTAGTTTTTCAAAAATATCAGGAAAGCGCAAAACAGTATAACCTCAAAACCCAAAAAGACACCACCGGAAGTTGAACACGTTAAGAAAGCAAACTAAAAAAAAAATGTTTTAACAACTCCTGTTAATTGGAGGAAAACAAAATGAAAAAACTCTTTGTTTTCAATTAATGTTTTAAGAAATTTTAGAATTCAGTTGCTCATCTTGAAACCAACACCCGAAAACATAAACTCTACGCAAAATCGCACTTAACTCTAACCTGCTCTATCGATGATCGGCGAGTCCCCTCCGTATCCGGTTTGCATGTTACCAACTTCATTTGCTCGGAACACATTTTGTTTATGTGAAGGTACATCCATGCTGCTTGTACAAACTATAAAAAAACAAATTAAAAGAAAGTAGAAATCTTTTTTATTAATTGTTATCTTTAATATGCATAGAAATAGAGACATGAACAAAACGAAAATAAAACAGATAAACAAAAAATTAAATGTAAAAAAGTGAAATAAAACAAACAAATCATAACAGATCAATGTATCGAAAACGGGACGCTTTTGTATTGGTGCCTCGTCATAGTTTTCACGGTTTTTTACATCATATTTAAGTTTATCAAATTGACCTTTTCCATCAATGGATTAATTTATCAATCAATGTAAGGGAAAGGGACTCTGCTCAATAATCTCATAACAGATAGGAGGCAGTCCGCAAACAGTAAAAACTATCCAACATATCGTAACGGCCATAAGACGAAGGAATGATTGCAATTGTTTGCAGTATCTTCAAATAAAAATGAATCTTGCTTCGATCCGAAAGAAAACTGGTTTCTTTAACTAAGATAAGGTAAGAATACCTGCGTGAAATTACGTAAAATCATTTTTTTAACGTGAAACGAAACATAGTTGGAGTGCTATTTTGAGGTTTTTGTCTAACAATACAACAGATTTTAACAATAAACATAGAAATAAAATTAAGAAATTGATTCAACGAGCAGGGATTGATGAGAATTTTCGAAATTGATGTGAACACCAACATAAACACAAGCAAGGGAATAGATATAATAGTCAGATTAATCGATTTTTTCTGATAATAAAGCATGCTCTTTTTAAAGACTTTATTCGAACAAGAAACAAAGTAAAGCGCACAGCAAGAATACCTGACACAGAAAAAGCAAAATTAAAATGAAAAATAAATTCACCAGTTTTCGTGTCCGCTTGACCAATTAATATCTTTCAATTAATTAAGGTTTTTAGTTGAGATAAAAAAGTCAGTGTCACGAGCGGGATTCGAACCCACGACCTTCGGCTAGATACGCCGTAATCTACCACTTGAGCTATCGTGACTTCGCTCCGCTCGGACACCAACTTCCCATCTCAACCACACCTTTTGAATTTTCCCTACTTTTAGCCATTTTTCAATTCGTCTAATTGGAGCTCAATTGGTCAAGCGGATCACGAAAACTAGTGAATTTAATAAGTTAAAATGAAGTCTACTTCACTAAAGCTCTCCGTGGCCATTTCATTTGTCGCCGAGAATCAAATAGATTACACGACATTTGAAAAACTGCTGAAAGGAGGGAAAATTCGAAATGTAGGTTGAGATGGAGATGGTGTCCGAGTGGATCGGAGTCACGATACCTCAAGTGGTAGAGCAGCGACGTATTTAGCAGAAGGTCGTGGGTTCCAATCCCGCTTGTGACACTGACTTTTTTATCTCAACTAAAAACCTTAATTAATTAAAAATAAAACGATTCAACGATCAAGTAATGGCCAGATCTATTTGAATTAACTTTAATTCAGAAAGAACCATTTTTACCATTCGAATGCTCTTCTAAACGTATACTTAAAGATATTGCTCTTCTCCAGAGATCATTAACATTGAGCACAGATAAACGAAAGCTAAGCATCAAACTATAGGCTGAACTTTTTCAAGTTTAATCGTCCACCCCAACCCACAAAGCATATGGAAGGAAAAAACAAGTCAAACATTTACGTTTGAGAATTCCTGCAAGCAGATGGCCAGTACGCTAAGGTGATATCAGCGGTTCTGTGCAGGAGGTTCGAAGGAAAAGAATAGGTTCGAAAAACTGGAACTACTAACTCGATGTGGCGCAAATGGCACTATATAGTGGCACAACTTCTAGTTAACACGAGAGGTGTCTTTTAGATGTTACCACTGGTTTGGAGATAGCCAACAGGGACTTAGAACCTATTTTCGTCACCCATAACAGGATGGAAGCGCTAGAAGAAGCAACCTACGTGGTATCGACTACATAATCAACTGACATGTTTAAAAGGAGTCATAATGTTTAAACCATAAGAACGTAAGATTTGATATAATTCCCCCCGCACTAATACTTGCAAAGTAAATCCTAGAGAAACGGATTGGGCAGGATATGAGAAATCCTCTCTCACGGATGTAACGGAAAAATAGGGAAGATCTTGTAGTTCAGAAGGTAAATGGAACGATTTGCTAAGCTTTTACGAAATTTAGGCTTTTAAAAAATTATCCTTAAAAGACAACAAAAGCAGGGGTTTTCCCCAGAAGAGTATATATACCCTGTACTACTTCAGAAATAGCAATAATTGCAAATGCGACCTCTGGTAAGAATCTGCAAGGCTTCTTTAGCCTGGAGATACATTCCCACAGCACTGAAAAAGGTGAAGGTGGCCTATTTGCGAAAAGTGGGCAAGGCCACATATCAAACACCCAGTCAGACCGATCAGCCTCTCATCGTTAATGCAGGACGCCGGAGAAATTGAGTGATAACCATACCTCCTTTCAATACTAATACATACGCATATCAGACAGGAAAGTCTAAAGTCCTAGATCTAAATGATTTAAACAACCTACTATCTCGGCATTGAATGACAAGGACATGGTACAAGGCCTTGGAACTATTTAGGTGCTTTCAAAATTCCTATGCCAATTCGTTGAGGAAACTCTAAGGTAGACGGCAATACCCTCCTTTATGATTGGGGGGGGGGGGGAGAACAACCAGAAGCTGCCCTCAAGGCGTTCAGTCCCGGCTACTTTGGGCAGTTGGTAGACGATCTCCTCGAACTTCTATTTGATGAAGGCTTGAATCACCTGGGATAAGCAGGGGACCAAGCAGTAGTAAATGGACGCATTACAGAGGTCAATATAACGAATGATGATGCAAAGAGAAAGGCATGACTAAAGCTCGATAAATACACCTCTTTACCAAGAAAATGGCACTAAGAGGCCCTAATGCATTTGTGCTAAATCAAAGAGCGAAAATCGCATTGGCAGATATAAACACCTTTGTGGCATTAGAACCTATCGGTCCTGATCCTTTTTCTAGCTTACCAAATTGCCAAAACATAGATACATCAGGCAGATCATCTGTTCAATGAAAATTTTTTCCAGGACAAAGTATTGCGAAAAATTCATTGAAGGACCATCGCGGAAACAAACGGCAGATCTACTAACCATATTACGCGTTAGGTCTAAAACGATAATAGTTCTGCTGACTGGACACTGCAGACTCTGGAGGCGTATGCATAGAAACAAGCCTGTGCAGATATTACCAGAAGAAAAAGAAATAGCGGAACATTTACTTTGTTTGTGCGAAGGATTATGCAGGCTGAGATTACTACTCCTGGGAGAAAAAAAAACCCAGGCCTGAAGGAAACAGACTGGAGTCCTTAACCAAGCTTTGGGATCTGGAAAAATGCTTTAAACTCAATGAGGGATTCTACACAATGATGGAGATTGCACAATAGACCAAGACTAACCTAAACCTAACCTACGTTAAGTCTGTACAGATCAGAACCGACAAAATCTAACATGGTGAGTTTAATCGCACGCACGGTGAGTTTGTAACGAACAGCGGGTTGAAGTGGTAGAGAAAAAGCAATGGCCAAGAGTTCTGAAATACTTTACAGAAAGGGAAAACGCTTCTCATTCGATATATGAAAATTTGTCCGGTCTATAAGATCGTGTTTCCACCATAGAGAGGAAAAAGCGAATTAGAACAAGGATGGAATGTTGCTCCGGTATTCTGTTTAAGGTGGCATCGGTTTTGCATCTCACTCTGGTATTTCATGATAAAATATTTGCAGGTTGTGGTTTTTCCTACAGGTAAAGTAATTAATCTGGGGGTTGCCAATCAGGTCGGGGGTAGGCGGGGGCTTTCACATTCCAATCCACCGTCCCGTTCTTCTCCCAACCCTTTTAATATTACTTTTTAAAAACTCCAACTCGCATAAATATGCCAGGTATTTCCGGCATCGCTTTGTAGCTTTAGGAAGAAGAATGTATATTATCCAATTTGGAGGTTGGGAAAAAGTAAACGCTCCCTTAGAGGGGAAAAGATCAATTCACTATCCGACCTTTGGAGACTTTTATCCCACCAGCATGGATGAAAAAAGACTTTTTTAATATACATAACTGTTTATTTACAATTTATATGAATTGACGCTACCGTTTCTATTCTTTGATCAAATCCATTTCTGAAAAATATGTGACTATATTGACAACAATAACGAGGGACAGGCTTGACTGCTAGCAGTGTGTAATAGTGATGATAGTGATAGAGATGGACAGATATAGGAAGTGCGGGTTTGTGCCCCAGGTTCGCCTTCTGGCTTATTGTACCTTCCTTGTTCCCTAGTTCTGAGCAATCGACTCAATCCTTCTCGGAAATATTAGGACATTGACTGTCGCTGCTACAATTTCATTACGGGTTTTTGTTTTAATTAATTTATTTTTTGTATACTAGGTTATGTCTCCATTCAGCCGTTGCTTCGCTTCGAAGATGATATGGGTGCCTGTTTCTTCCTCCTCATTGCATAATTTCCAAATCACCACTGATCATCGTTGAATATGGCTACGTATGTAGCTGTTTTCTCAGATGCCAGTGACCGGTTATTAGTCCTATCACTCCTCTTGAGTCTGCCTTTCTACAATTGCTGCAGCAGTGAGTTTGACAGTCCTCGCAGTGTAATCATGACTGATAAACAATTAAATCGGTAGGGGCCAGAGAGATATTACATAAAACAATAGTTTACAGACTTTTTTAATTGTCACTTTTCAAAAATAATCTTCCTATTGCCAGGTCAGTCTTTTTCGTCATTAAAGGATCAAAGTTTTGAATTACAGGACACACATTTTTTCTTTCAGACAGACAGAATTTTTTTTTAACCCTTAGCTTTCTTCTATGGTCAACGATCGCAACTGATTTTCATAACGAACGTCCTATCACATCTTCGCCACAAAAAATTAAATTAAAAATAAACTCAAATAACGTTGGACAGAAATATTCGTGGTTTCGAACTTATTTTGCCATTATTTTATGTCTTGTCACTTATTTTATCTATTAATATTTAATTTTATTAACTAACCAGTTAAAAG